TATGGTTTTTAAAACAAACATATGGTCAGATGTTCTGCTCTTTTTTGAAAAACCAACCTGACATGGATGAATTATATTATTTTTATCAAGATGAATGTCAAGTCTTTTATTAAGAATACTGTTAAATAATTTTCCAATGCATGAATTAATTGCTATGCCTCTGTAATTTTCAGGTTTACTAGGACTCCCTGCTTTAAAAATTGGACATAAATAAGACAATGACCATTTGCGAGGGTATGTTCCAGAGCAGAATATCAAGTTAAAAAGTTTCTGCAAAACAGGTGCAAATATACTACCCCCTGATTTCAATATCTCGTTTGGGATACCATCTAGTCCTGCAGCTTTATTATTCTTTAGTTTATATATAGCATCCAAAATTTCTTTTATGGTTATTTTGTAATCCAGTTCACAAAAAGTTGGATTATTTTCTAATTTTTTTACTTTCTTGTTAATTTCCTCTAATCTGTCTTTAAATTTGTCAGAGTTGAGATTTAAAGATTGAAAATATGAAAACCAGACGTTAGTTTGAATAGAATGTTCTGGACCATCCGAATTGTCTTCTTTTAATTCTTTGATGAGATTCCAATAACTCTTTGGATTATTATCCCTTAGATTATCCAGACTCTCAAGAATGTTTTGTTTAAATTTCCTTTGTTTATATTTACGTAGCTTATTATACTCCCTATAACATTTATAGTAAGACCCTTTTATAATTGGGTCCCAGGGGAATTTTGATAACAGCTCACCTTTAGAAATAAGGCTTTTACGTGTTTGTACCAGGTCTTTGTCAAACCATTTTTTGTTTTTGTATTTACGTGCAACTTTTTTCTTGGTTTTACGGAATATTAAACATTTACTGGCAGCATTATCTATTATATCAAAACATTCATTAGCTGCCTTTTCAATATAGTCCTCTGAAAGATTAAATTTTGTGTCTCAAAATTTTTTGATACTGTTTCTAATAATTGGCTGGCATAAAGTATCTTGAAGTTTTTGTGTAGAGGTTTCTGACCATATATATTTTCCTGGAAAAAAAATAGTATTGTCTTGCTCCTTAGCTTTATGTGAGTAACTAGCTAACAGGCCAAATGTCAGTTTACAGTGACAGTCTGACAGAGTTGATAAAAAATCAGCAACATGAAAAAATAAAGTATCTTCAATCAAGTCTTCCGACATGATAACATAGTCAACCACACTACTACCTACTGCTTTTATACAAGTGTATTTACCATGAGAATCGCCCCACATTCTCCCATTTAAAATACGTAATTTGGACGCAATACACAAGTCCAGAAGTTGTTTACCTCTTGAACCTACTTTCATATCATAACTACATCTCTTTTCTTGAATAATATCACAACTATAATTATCATACATTGGTATATGTGTATCATTAACATCATTTATTATAAAATCTGGCTCTGACCCTGTCCTTGCATTTAAGTCCCCACACAATATAATACTACCTTGATGGCTAAAATTTATGATATCTTTTTCTATGTTTTCTAGTGTGTCATCTTCTGATTGATCAACATAAAATGAAGTAGCTGGTATAATATATGCCAAACATAGGAATATATCTGTACTTAGATTAAAATAATGTTTATCAAACTGTAACCATTGATAATCTTTACATGTATTTATCAAAATCTTGATGCCCTTGCGAACTTCATATTTGATCAAAATATCTAAGCCCCATAGTATCTAGAGTTAGCTGATTGTTGACTACAAATAGGGTAATAGTTAAAACCCTCAATATTGACTGTAGTGTTATAACCTACATGGGTCTCAGTTAATAGTATAACATCATAGTTTCTTATCTCTTGAAGAAAAAGGGGATCTGTTATTTTATCATGATGCTTTGAAATAAGCCCACCTATGTTCCAAACACAAAATGTTATGTTGTGAAAAAAATTATTTCTTTTTTGACTGGTCATAATTGCTTTTTTAATAGTAATCTTTTAAAATTCCCTCTCACCACTGGTTAATTGTACAATAATCTTTTATTAACTTTGACAGTCAGCTTTTGGGCAGGTAATATGAATATGAAATCCTTGTAAAATAATAAAACTCTTTTCCCTCTTATAAAATAACAAACTCCTCTAACTAAGGAAAGGCAAAAATGAAATTATCTTTTTATTGTCCTATATAAATGACAATTTAAGTTTAGATAAAACAAGAAAGCAAAACAAAATCTAGCTACAATTGTTTACAAAATATCAAACAAATCTTAATTATAACTGGCAACTTTATCTTCTTTACTAAAAAAAGCTAAATACAAATGTATCAGCATATTAAGGCTGCCCATATCCACGACCCCGACTTTGATAATTGTTATAAGTGTTATAACCGCGACCACGATATCCACCACGCCCACGATATCCACCACGTCCACGATATCCGCCTCTTGATCCATTATTCAGGTTAACATTGCTGTTATAAAAAGGTCTACGTTTTGGTAGATCTAGTGCTTCATCAACTATATCCCGAATATTTGCTGCAAACACGTTTACACCTTGATCTGAAAGGTGATATTTATCATCCTCACTAAGAAATTTAGGGATTGCTCTGCCTTTATTTGCTAGATTACTGTGATCACACAGATATACTTTTTCGGTATCAAAGTATTCCTGCTTCAATAAAGCAATTATCAACTGACCTTTCATATTGAAGCTTTCGTTGTCAGCTCTAGGTGTTGGTGTAGATAAGATAACTTTTGAAGATGGATATAAATCACATGTTAAAGATATAATTTCCTTCATTTTGTTAACACAAATTTCTGCACTTTTTTCACGTAGATCATTTGTTAAGGAGTGAAACGCAATTATATCAGGTGCATGCTCAATTTCTCGCAAACTTTTCTCGGTATCAGGTAATGTGTAAGCAATTCGCTTCTCCATTGTAAATTTTTGATGACAATTTAGATACATCGATTCTTTCAATATTTGACGTTCCAATTAATATAACATGTGGTTCGTCTGCATTATTTTGACGCAAGTTGCTTTGTGTAGATCGTCTAGTTCTTGATGGAACATCCTGAAAATGCGCTGCACCATCATCTCTACATGCATGTTGTTTGAGACTGTATAGCTCATCATCTTTTTCTTCTAATCTAGATTTCATTTCATTGCATGATCTTACTAAAGTTTTAAGTTTATCATCTTTCTCATGTATTGTAGTTTCTAATTTATTAATTTCAAACTCAAATTGCTTCTGTGATTTGTTATGGTTCACCTTTTGAAGCTCAGACTGAGATGTTTGCTGATCAAGTTTTGACTGTAACTGAAACTTGTCCAATTCTGTTGTGTGTTTAACCTGTTGTAATGACATCTTCAAATCAGAGTTTTCATGCTCCAGTGTATTTAATTTGTTGAAAAATTTCTGATCACATGCATTTGTGGAATCAGATTTGGCAACTTGAATTTTGGAAACACTTTCAAGTACTTTTGCAAGTTTATTATCATTTTCCTTTAGGTGATTAAGATATGAATCTTCCATTGTTTTCATTTTAGCTGAAAAAAGTTCAGATTGTTTTGTACAAATCTTATCTAGAGCAAGTACGAAGAAGTTTTCCATTCTCTCTAACATTTTCTCAGGTCTAAAATGTGTTACTGACCATTCATTATTTTGGTTGCTTGCTTGAGGTTCACTGTTATTGTTTAAATCACCTCTGTTTTCAAATAATTGTTTTCCATGTGTTTGGTCATTATTAACTTTGTCCTCATTTGAGTCATTGTCATGTTTACCTGATTCACTGGTAACATCAGTGTTTGCCTCGTTGCCCTCTGCTACAGTGCTAGGTGTATCATGCTGGACAACCCGGTCACCATTGAACTCTTTAATTTTATTAATCAGTGCAATTAGGATGGGAAAGTCATGTTGAACAAATTTGTCTTTGGCCTTACCCTGAGTCTGAATCACCCCAGTGTTAATAAAGAATGTTATTTTGTAGAGAAGGGGGGTTTCTGAATCATGTGTATGCTTCGTTGAGATTTCAATACATATGGCTGTATTACCTCCTGCATTCTAATTCCAATCAGCTGGATCGTCAAACCACCTTATATCATGTTCAGCGGAATTACCAAGATGATCATAATACCATACATGAAGAGTTTTGATCCACAAGAGAATTCGATCAACTTTCACACGAAAGGCAACCATGTTTGCCTTGTCCTCATATAGATTTATGTCTATCGACTCATATTTAGTTCGTTTGGCCTTATCGCCTGCTGGCGTTTTTAACTTTGTAGGTTTACATTCAGGAGGATATTCTGAGTAAATGCTATCCAGATTAAGGTCGTTGGACTCTTCAATTGTTTTGATAATAGTTTCAATTGTTATTTCATTGTCCGCCATTTTGTTTATGTGCGATACACGCTGATCAGTTGAACCAAGATATATGCAGGTTAATCAATAAAATGTTCAAGCGACACACTTACATTGGGTTAGTTCATATAATTAATATCAATTTAACTAATTTTCATGATGTTATGCTGTCGGGAAACGTGGAAGTAGGCAGCATTTTTCTCTGCTAAATTTCCATTGCCGCTTTCTAGTCAAGGGCAGATAACAGTTTATAAGATATCTTAAATAGTTTATAAGATATCTTATAAAGAAAATTATATGAGATATCTTATAAATTATATGAGATATCTTATGAACTATATAAGATATCTTATAAAGTATATAAGATATCTTATAAACTATATATGATATCTTATAAGCTATATGAGATATCTTATAAAGTTTATTAGATATCTTGAAGTTAGAATAAATAGTAAAACGGCTTGCCATAGAAATGGGTATATTTGATATTACCGTAAAAATCTTTATAACACAGATTTTTGGCTGTTTTGATAGTGTTATCAGTCACGTAAAGTAGTGCTATTTAGGTCATACTAAAAAGTACCTGTATAATAATTGTTTACCTTTGAAACGTATCATACTGCAAGTTATCTCAGTATAACGATATTATAATAGCTATTTTTGAAATGGATTTTATTATCAATACGCTTTAATACAGCAATGGGTGACATTTTTAATCAAACTGACATTACTCTCACATTTGTGTTTATATTTACTTTGATAGCTATTGGATTATATCGTAGACATCTAAGATCGAAGGATCAACCTCCAGGACCATGGGGACTTCCATTTGTCGGATATCTTCCATTTCTCGGCAAAAATCCACCAAGGAAGTGTACGTGCCTGGCCAAGACGTACGGTGATATATTCCGCATTCGATTGGGTAGCTGGCCAACAATAGTTTTAAATAGTAGCGCGGCAATTCGAGAAGCATTAGTTGAACAATCAGAAACATTTTCTGATAGACCAGACTTTTTTTCATGTAAAGTTGTAAACAATATGCGAAGCCTCGGTTTTGGGTCCTACACCCCAAGATGGCGCTTGCATAGTAAAATAGCTTCAACTGTACTTCGTGAATTTGCATCCCCGAATAAACCAACGACGGAGAAAGTTATAATGATGGAAGCAGAAAAACTTACAGAATATTTTCTAGAAAATACACATACACATTTTGATCCACACGAGGAAATATTTTTTGCAATAGGGAGTGTTATATATCAAATATGTTGTGGAATGGACAAAGATTGTAGGAACGACAAAGGCTATATAAATCTAATCAAGAACACTAAAATGATGCAAGAATTTGCTGGTGCTGGAAATCCAATAGATGTCATGCCTTGGTTGCGATATGTTATTCCTAGTAAAGCTACAAGATTTGTAGAAATTCTGCAAACTCTGATTGTATCTACTGATACGATTATGAATGAACATTTACAAACATTTGATGAGAAATACCTTCGAGATGTTGCAGATGGTCTTATATTTGCGGAGAAAAAATATTGCAGAAACCCGAAAAAAAACCAAGGGATCACAAAAAGTGATATATTCTCAACACTACAAGATTTTCTTGGTGCAGGTTTCGATACTTCATCATCAACCCTCGAATGGATTATTTTATCTTTGGGACATTATCAACATATTCAAGAGTTAGTTCAACAAGAAATTGATTCTGTTATTGGTACCAGAAGTGTGAGTTTAGATGACATGGGTAAGTTACCGTTTACAGAAGCGACAATACTCGAGACTCAAAGGGTATCGCCAGTAGTTCCTATAGGAATACCTCATGCAACGTCAAAGGATACCGTACTTAGAAATTATAGGATAAAAAGAGGCACTGTAGTGCTGTGTAATTTTTATGGGACAACAAGGGACTCAAAGGTATGGAGAAATCCTGAGGTGTTCACACCGGAAAGATTTTTAGATGATCAGAACTTTATAAATTCATCAATTGAAAACAAACTATTGACATTTGGTGCTGGACGTCGACGTTGCCCAGGAGATTTTATTGCTAAAATGGAACTGTTTTTATTTGTTGTAAATATATTTCAAAAATGTAAGATCAAATTAATTTCGGAAGCCAATTTTGAGGGGGTTTTTGGTCTTACATACAGTCCTAGATCCTATACAATTAAAGTATTTCACAGATAAAAAGTTGAACGGTTTAATGGTTTTTGTTCAGTTATCAGAAAGTGGTTTTCACATAAAATTGTGCCGTTTGCTCTCAGTTAAACGGAACATTATGCGTTAAGTCATTCCTTTGAATAAAAACAGGTGTATGCTGGCGACAAACACTGTAAAGATTCACAGAAAATTGTGCCGTTTGCACTCTGTTAAACGAAAAAGTATGCATTAAGTCATTCCTTTGAATAAAAACAGGTGTATCCCAGCGACAAAAACTGTAAAGATGAATCTTCGATTTCATACTGTTTCAATAAACGTCAATATATCGAAAACTAAGAATTATTATATAATTGCTTGAATACTGATTTGGCATTGTGTTGATTATGGCTCATTTATTATCTATGCAATCTCAAATGAAACCAACTGAGAAAAGCTGAAACAATACAATCATAATTTAAAATAATTTAATTTGTTCTTGCTTGCTTAACGTCCAGTGACAAATATTCCAAGCAAGAGGTAAATATGTTCTGGCATGTAGGTCAATCCGGATGAAAGGTGAACTTTGTATTTTTCTGTACCCTTAAATTAGTGGTTAACATACACCCACGAAATTCTAAAAACATAGAAATATTTTCGTTATGTTTGTAATCAATTGCCATTGAATAAGATTGTATATATTAGCAATTTATTATTGAAACTTAACAACTGCTCATATTCAATTGTTTATATTTACAGTAGGTGTATTCATGTAAATCTTTTATTGGCTGACAGATTCCGTCATATGCTTTTATTTCGTATTAAAGTAACCCTTGCAGTGGATAGCAACCCATGTCGCATGAAACAAAACTCATCAAAGATAACAGGACTATAAACTTGTACGCCAGGAGACTCACCGGTGATGCTCGAATCAAAAAAATTCAAAGACCAAATCAAGAACGAAGCTGAAGATGACCCGAAAATTGAAACAACTCAAAATTATTAAATTATGGTTTCCACTTACCTAATCAATCAACACCATTTTTCGCATTGTGCGTGTACTTCACGCAAACCGATCATGCTTTAAAAATGAAAATTTTATTCATTCGGAAAAAGAAGTTGATAATATATCTTGAAAAATGGATAAATGATATAAATGTAATAAATATATAACAATTATTTATTATCCTTTGATATACATGTACAATAATGATTTAAATTTGATAAATATTTTACGAGCAATCTTCATGCTAATTTCAGCTATATGGCGTATAATAAATTTGATTTAAAATGGAATGATTATTATACTGCCTTCATTTCACTTGACAATTTTTGCCAAAGTTTTGTCTTTAAAGTTTTACTTCCGGATTCAAAATGTGAATAATATATACTTCTTTTATTTCGAAAATCTGTAAATATAAGAATTGAATGCTATTTTTGAAAATTTACATGAAATGAAAGCAAGAAACGTTTTCGCGCTTGGTCGCTTGCTTTCTTTCGTATAAATTTAAAAAAAACAGCATTCAGTTATCTAGTACAATACAGCATATTCCTACTGTAAATTGATAGATAAAATAATAAAACTGCAAATCTACGTACAGTTTGTGTTAGTATTTATTAATACAAAAGTTCATTAATTTAAATAAATCGGAATGATGTTTGTTACTTTGTGTTGCACATCCAGGATGAAAACCATTCAAAAGTGTTTAATAAATAAAGAAAATTAAATTGCTGTTAGTCATCAGGAGCAGTGTGGGATGAATATGGAACGCCACAGCTGTCTTATGTGGAACTCTGATATTACTTTATGTTGTTTTATTATTACTTGATGATATTTTTACTTAATATAGTTTTAACATTACGTAATGATGTTTTGATATATCTCAATATGGAATAGTCATTACTTAATGATATTTCGATATTACACGATATGGTTTCGTATTGACTTGATATAGTTTTGTCATTACTCAATATGGTTTTGTCATTACTCGATGTGGTTTCACCATTATTTAATGTGGTTGTGTCATTAGTCAATGTGGTTTTAACATTACTTAATGTGAATGTGACTTGACGTTATGTAGTTGTTTCATTACATGATGTGGTTTTGTTATTTTGTAATGATGATTTGCCTATTCTTTATATGGTTTTAACATTACGTAATGATGTTTCAAAATTTGACGATTTTACACTACATGATGTGTTTGTGTCATTATTTGATGTGGTCCTGTCATTCTTTGATGGGGTTATCCCATTACTTGACGAGGTAAAATCACGTGACTAGTTCGGAAAAACCTGTTCTATTTTTAGATAGATTTACATGTTGTATGTGCCTTGGATGAGTGTGGCCATCCATCGAATTAGAGTTCAAATTAAAGTTCGGGTTACTGTTTGAGTTAAACTTTGAGTTAGTCTTCGATTTCGAATTCAAGTCATTATTAGAATTAAAGTTTTAGTTAGCATTGAGTTTCGAGTTGGACTTCGAGTTTGAGTCACATTTAAAGGTAGAGTTCTAGTTACAACATTAAATTTGAGTCACTTTTTGAGGTAGAGTTTGAGTAAGATTCGAATTTTAAGTCTCATTTAGAACATAATTAAGATTTTGAGTTGAAATTCGAGCTATCTTATATGAGTTCGTAATTAAATTTTCTATCGCGGAACAAGGACTTTTGCTCGGGCTTCCGAAAAGAGGGCTCCGGGGTATGCGTACAAAAGATAAACAATGTTACAGTATACAAAACGCAACATAGAAGTTGAAATAAAGTTAGATGTGGTGTGATTGACAATGAGACAACTATCCACCAGAGTTTAAATGCAGTGGATGTAAGAAATCATATATAGGCAACCGTACAGCCTTCACCACACCGTATAGTCAGCTACAAAAGGCCACCATGCACCATGTGAAAAAATTCAAACGAAAAAACAAACGGTCTTATTCATAAATAAACAATCTACAAAAAAACATGACACACATTTATACAACGACAACAATTGAACTTCATGCTCCTTACTTGGGGCAGGTACATAAAGAAAGTGCACGTGGCGGCGTTTTACATATATGTGAGCGCTAAATCCTAACCTTACATCGGACTGTTACAGTTGTGTAACAGCACAACACGAGAAAAAAAATGTAAACTAGACAAAGTGATGCCCCCGCACTCAACTCATTTAACCGCTTATACCCCAAAAATGACCAAAAAAAAGTTTAATTATCTCCCAAAAGAGCAAAAGATAATAAAAATAAAAACCCTGACCACATGCACACCTTCAATATATGTACAAACAGACAGTAAAGAGAAAACTTCCTAGGATTCAAACTGTAGGAGGAGTTATGCGGACGGACGGACGGACAGGGGTAAAACAATATACCCCCCAACTTTCAGTTGCGGTGGCATACAAAACAGTTTCATTTGGCTGATTCAATAGATCGGTATGACTGGGTAATATAAATCCATCGGGGGTGATCTCGGATGCTCCAGAAAGGCACCCGTCGTGTTATTCGAGAAAGTACAAACCCAGTGATTTGGTTTTATTTGGTAGCTTACATTCAAGAAAAAGATGACGGTATTATGGTTACGACCACTGGAACATGTCCGTCGTCACATGTGAAAGAGATATTCCAAAAAGTTTATTTTTCAATTAGTGCGAGGTAGATCAGGGAATTCAATTGATTACAAATAAAAGATTGATATTCGTATAAGTTCAAATGATCATTTACGCTAATAAAAATTCGAAGAATTCTTATTTTATAGTATTGATGCTTTGTCGCTTAGTCCGAGCCCCCCTCCCCCCGTTTCCCTATAACTTTAGTGTGAGTTGATTTTAAGTGTTTCATTTGTTAACAATAAAGTTCAAGTCTTTTGATTTGTGTCGAGCCTGCGACATCAATGTAGCGGCAGTGAGACACAACAAACCTATATTTCGTCGTCGATAGTGGCGTCGGCGTCTCCATCTCCATTTTATTATTTCTATTGAGTTTAACCTTTCATTATACATGTTACTAAACATGTATGCCATCATAATTTTGTACTTTTAGAATATCATACTGTATTTGTTTACCTCGACTATTGTATCTGTATTTATATTGTATGTTTCTCTGTAAACTTGTATTTAGTTTTTAGAGAATAAAGTATCTATCTATCTATCTATAGATCGTTAGGTTTCTAGTTTTTTACATTTTTCATTTCGGGACCTTTTATAGCTTACTATAGGGTATGGGTTTTGCTCATTGTTGAAAACCATACAGTTTTGTTTTAGTTAAATAAAACCGAATTAAACTGTTTTGACATGATAAATTTGTAAACCTCCATGAAGTGTTTTAAAACTTGTATAGGAGTTATTCCTCAATTTCAAGAAAAAGCATCTACAGAAAAACATTTTGTTTTTTCATTTTTTTTACCGATAAATGTATAGATAAATGTACAGCCGATCAACATGACGCTTTTACACTTACAGCAGCAATATCAGGCGAGACACACGGTTCCGTGAAATATTTTACAAATTTATTACAAAAATACTGCTTCCGTTTGAGAACTTAGGATAAAAACAACAGGACCAAGTGGTTTGGGGATATCCCAATTATGTCCGAAATACTGTAAACTTTTTAATACTTTTTTTCTTATTATTGTCTGCCGTTCCCCTTTTTCATACCAAATAACTCTGAACAACAACTCGAACTTTAACTCAACGGATAGCGATACCCATCCAAAGCACATTAAACAAACGATATATTGAAATCTGTTTAAAAATAGAACATATTTTTTCCGAATTGGTCACGTGGTTTTACCTCATCAAGTAATGGGATAACCACATCAAAGAATGGCAGAACCACATCAAAGAATGAAAGGACCACATCAAATAATGAAACAAACACACCATGTAGTGTAAAATCGTCAAATTTTGAAACATCATTACGTAATGTTAAAACCATATAAAGAATAGGCAAATCATCATTACGAAATAACAAAACCACATCATGTAATGAAACAACTACATAACGTTAAGTCACATTCACATCAAGTAATGTTAAAACCACATTGACTAATGACACAACCACATTAAATAATGGTGAAACCACATCGAGTAATGACAAAACCATATTGAGTAATGACAAAACTATATCAAGTCAATACGAAACCATATCGTGTAATATCGAAATATCATTAAGTAAATAAATGACTATTCCATATTGAGTTATATCAAAACATCATTACGTAATGTCAAAACCATATTAAGTAAAGACAAAATATCATCAAGTAATAATAAAACAACATAAAGTATATCAGAGTTCCACATAAGACAGCTGTG